GCAGTTGGAGCTTGATCATGTTGGTACTAACGATCAACTTGCTGACATACTGACAAAGGCTTTGGGTCGTGTGAGACATGTTGAAATGCGGCAGAGGCTGGGCATCAGGGAGATCAGCAAGGGGGATGGAGCTTAAGGGGGAGAATTGTTAGCCTAAGCTCCATCACACGTGAGTGTGCTAGTCCTAGTTTGTTTTGCTTAGAATAAGCAATGCATGGCTGATGTGATGTGCACATGCAGCATGCACGTAGAAGTAGTGGAGGGGCCGAGTCTACACATGATCGCCCCGTCTTGTTCTTTCTGTTTTGCTCCTCCCGGTCAGCGTGGCACGCGTGCGAGCTGGAAATCGTGGGATGGCGCGACATCTCCGGATCGCAGCGGGCTGGCCGGGTTAGTTAGCTAGGTTGATCTTGTAACAGAATAACCAAGAAGAATAGAACGCACGGAAAAGCTGGGGAGTCCGCCCGGCGCAAAACTCACTGTCTTCTTCCTCTCTTCGATCTCTCTCTCGTCATACTCGATCGCCTGGACAGCGACAAGCGCAAGTGCGACCCTCGCTGACCACCTAGAGGCACGGTACCAGTAATGCACCAAGATCTGTCTATTCAAGAGGTAAACAAGAACACATCCTCGTTTGATATCATGATATGCAAGTAAATTTCAAGCACACAGGGTTGACATGCAAACAAATATCACACACACAGGGAGACCGCCCAAACAAGCACATCAGCTCACATCACTTTTAGTAGACAAAAACTGAGCAAGAGAGACCCAACCTTGTTCATAATGACACGGAGGACCCAACAAACAGAAAACATAGATCAGCCTGCAAGAAAAAAAAAGAGAATGAACAACATACCAGCTCATAGACATTTCATGAAACACGTCAGGAGTATTGTAATGGAAGTACACCTCCTTCATATGATAATAATGAGCAGCAGTAGAATGGAAGGGCTCACTGGCAAATTGAACGAATGAGAGCAGCCCCGACGATCTAAAGCTTCAGACCACCAATATCATCATAAACCATGTTTGTCGGCATTGCTAAAAAAACAGTAGAATAAGCAAACAAAATCTCAGTTAACCACCTGGTACACAAAACAAAGGGCATTTAAATCCCCAAACCTGAAGATATGCTACAGGAGCACATGTACATTTGATAAAAACCAATGTACATGTATATGCATGATTACTAAATATGGCAACAATATATATGGCACAATAATTTACCCCCGTCACTGAAATCTGAAGTCAGTGTGCGTGTGTATGTTTATACACCCAGCTAAAAATCTACGAAACGCAAAATAAGAATCTGAATGCCCAATAAAAATTAATCTGGCTGGGCAACTCGGCTACTCCGAGCTCGCCCAGATTGAAAAAGTCGCTGGTCGTCCGATTCTGTCTTTTACATCATCCGAGCCGTCTAATTTTCACAATCTATTTTCACTTCGTGGTTATTTTTCCTTTTCTATGACTGGTGGGCTTATTATTGTGCTTGACCTGATTAGTGATTTGAATGATTAGTAATTTACCTGAGAGTATAAGTGTCACAAGTATATTCATTAACTGCCCTCGTACAACCTGCAAATTGATTATGGAATGAGCTTCTGACGGGAAATAGAAAACAAAAAGCACAAAAGAACAGTAAGTACCTGACATCGCCCTAGCGTGGTAAACTTTTTTGAGTGCTTACAGTCATCTTTGGTGTTGACTCGTATCTGACCATTGCCCTGCCCATCGAGGTCACTGTTGCACCACGACTCACGGCAAGGCCCATTTGCCTAGTATGCTCCAACTGCCAACAGAACAAGCAATGTTGCATAAACCAATTGAGGCCTTTTCACTAATTAAATCTACAAAACCATTTAGTAAAATCCACTGGAACTATCCAACTATAGGACTGAATCAATGAAACATAACAGCAGCTGCAGAAACCACTCTAGAACTTTTTCATAAACTAAAGGAAACATTTAGGTTCTATTTAACCCCGGGGGCTGCAGCCGCTGTTATGAAAATCACTCTCTTCCTATCAATTTTCAGAAAATGGTTTAGAGTGGTTTCTGAAAATGGTCCAGAGTGGGTCCTGATTAAATTGATAGGAAGAGAAGGAATGGGGGTGTTTTAGAACGATTGCTACACATATGGCATACATCTGAAAAAGGAAAAAAGAACACCCTAAATCAAACCTGAAGAAAACAAGATAAAATAACCTGATGTATGAACTGTAAACTGATGAGATTCTTAGTAGACATGATAAAATATGTATGTACAGGTCATTACTTAATAGATTATGAATAGCAAGGATGAAATTAAATCAAATCTGACAGAAATATGTGCAAAGAACAGGAAGACACTACCGCCGCTGTTGAAATCAAATCTGACAGAAATATGATGAAATTAATTAATCCACGCTGGCCATTCCCATCCACGAGACGAGAGAGACAGTGTGTGTGCTGTGTACGCAAGGATGGGAGGGGCTGGAGGAACAGATGAGAATCAA